CCCGATGTAGATGACTCGGTTGTTCCTCTTCTTAGGTGGACTTCATCACGGTGTCGTTATGTGGTCGAGACTCTTTTGGAGATGGATAAGAGTGAAACCGAGGACCACCAAGGTACTGGTACCTTAGCTGCTATTTAGTTGGTAGAGTTTTTTGAATAATAGCTTAGTGTTTGGTAGAGTTATTATATACAACAATTGTGGTAGAGTTATTAAATGTGGTAGAATATAACATTTGGTAGAGTTTTTACAATTTGGTAGAGTTTTAACATTTTGGTAGAGTTTTTACATTTTGGTAGAGTTTGTACAGTTTGGTAGAGTTTTTACATTTTGGTCGAATTTTTGATTCAGTTTGATAGATTTATTAATATCATGGTAGATTTATTAATATCATTTTCTATGGCATGGCAGGTTCAGGTTAGACATCTAATGGCGGTGAAGCCCTTGGAGGAAATATATCCTGTCTGGGAAGGTGAACCCCGACGTGTAGACGTCGATATAAAGGTGCATAACATGATATGCGATATTCTGGATGGAAGCTTGGATGAGGGGTTCTGGGAATCTCCCAAAAATGTAGGTGGCGATGCAACAGGTGGCGCTGCAACAGTTCAGACGCCGAAACAGTCGAAGAGGAAGTTGGAAACTCCACGCGTGGAGAAGAAAAAGAAAGAGAAGGTGAAAGAGGCTGAAGCAACGGATTCAACTCCGAGAAGCAAAAGGAGAAGGGAAAGAGAGGCAAGGAAAGAAGAGACGAAGCACAAAAACAAGGAGAAAAAGAAACGTAAGAAGGAGGATGAGGAAGAAGATGATGATTTTAACTCGCCGGTGAAGCTACTAAAGGATGCAATTGAAGAAAAGAGAAAGGAGAAAAGGGAGAGAAAGGAAAGAAAAGAAAGAAAGGAGAAGGAAAGAGAGAAGGAAAGAGAGGAGCAGGAGAGAGAGAAGCAAAGAGAGAACGAGAGCAAGAAGAAAGAGCCCGCTGTGGAGAAGGAGGATAGGACGAATGAGATCCTCATGGCAATCAATGGTTTATCAACGACGGTAGCATTGCTAAACAGCAATGTCAGCAGTGCTGTAATTCGTATAGACCACCTGGATAAGAGGATTGCCGTTATCGAGGATAAACATGAAGAGAAATAGGAGGCCATGACGAATTCTGGGAACAAGGTTGACAACGACCATGGTAACAATGATTATAATGCCGGTGATGCAGAATCCAAAACCTCACCGAAAACCCCTAGAGCAAAGGCATCTCCTCCAGCAGCAGCGCCAGTAGCAGGAACGTCAACGGGAGGTGGAGCAGGAACGGGAACGGGAGCTGTGGAAAAAGATCCGGTACGCAAGTCTCTCTTCTAATGTCATGGAGACAACATTCAACTATGTTTAAACAGATCGTTTTCCTTTCCTTTATGGTAGATTTGTACGAAATACTTTTTTACTTTGGTAGACTTGTATTGATGGTTTTTTTAAACTTTTCCTGCACAGTAGACTTTTAATGTTTTCTTGGAATACAAGACTAACTTTATGTGGTAGATTTTTGGCAGTGATATTTATATTAGGTAGATTTATAATTAATTCGGTAGATTTTTAGGTAGATTTAGTTATGTTATTATTTGGTTTGACTGATGTGAAATTACTATACATGCCAAGCAGTCATGGATGATGGAGATGCATGAAACATCAGAGCCAGGTTTTCCTGTTGCAAGAGTTGTTAGAACCCCAGCGTCGAGAGGAAAGACTGTAACCAAAGTGAAAAAAGAACCTGCTGATCCTAAAGAGAAGAATAAATCAGGCACAAAGTCAAAACCTGATTTAAAAGACAAAAACGAAGAAAGCCAGATAATCAATATAAGCGACGTTTCACGCCCACTACAGTCTAGACGAGTACAGATCCCATCCCTGCAAGACGAAGACGACTCAGCGATTGAAGCTATGAAGAAACGCTTAGATAAGCTGGTGGAACATGCAAAAAATCCACCTGCTGAGAAGGAAAAAAGGGGACGCAGCCTTGCACCGACCCAGGTTTCACCCTACCTTGGTAACTCAGTGGTGAGACGCATCATGGACCCAGCAGGTCCCCCTCCTGGGAGGTATGATCCTTTTGAAGCGGTGGACAATCGAATACTGGATAATCTAACCCGCTACGTAGCTTTTGAAGCATAAGTCAGTTTTAAATTTCCATGGTAGACTTACTTGTTTGATTTGGTAGACCTATTGTTTTATATAGTAGACTTATTACGTATGTGGTAGACTTACTTCGGAGTCTGGTATGTCTATGTCATTTTTC